GGGGGATATCGTCAACATGAAACACCTTCAGCGTCCACAGCAGAATCACTCAAGAACAAAAAAAATGAACATGCATAGGAGGACTTGAAAAAACAAAAAAAGAACATCGGCGATGGAACGGCCCTGACCGTATTGAGAGTAGATGCTACACCGACACACAACCATGGCGATTGATTGCCAAAGACAGATTATTGCCACTTTTTGTCGGCTAGAGCACATGACTAGGTGCACAAAGACGAGTGTCAGCACTCGGTACCATTTACTGGCTGTTGAGTACGCACTCTCGATTTATGTACCACGTCGTGTCTTGAACTTCGTTTTTTCGCGGCCCATGCACCATATGACGAGGAAGCGCAAATACGCCTCTACCACTGCGATGGTTTTGCGGGGAAAATTTCACATGGTGTAGTTCTTATCCTACCTACCTGCAATAACCGTCCCGTTACAATGTTCGGATTGTGTCAATACGTTGAGACATCCCCGTGAAAACACCCCCAACGGACGGCGTCAGCGTGAGTTGGACCGGTACGAATGTTCGAGGGTCTACCATGGTACGGGTTTTGATGTCAAGACAACAACAACAACGACAACAACAACAACAAGCCTTTGGGGAGAAACCGTCGATGGAAGCACCCACCTTGCGGTCGTCGGTTTTTGATGTCAAGACAACAACAACAACAACAACAACAACAACAACAACAACAACAACAACAACAACAAGCCTCTGGGGAGAAACCGTCGCTGTAAGCACCCCACCTTGCGGTCGTCGAAGATCGCCCACCGGCCCTCCTTCCGGATGTGAGCCACGTAGTGACCGCACCCGGTGTTCTTTCCCACGTGCGAGATGAACCCTACCAACGAGTACCTGGCTCGCACGCAACAAGGAACAACGAGCCACGTCGGGGGGGGGTCGTACTCATGTTTTGCGTGCCTTAGCGGTTAGACCATTGACCACGAGTCTTCGAGAGGACGGGGCCTTGTTCCCACAGGACTGATCACAGATAACTTGGGCAAGACAAGCAGGACAAGCAGGGTAGGCACCTTCCAGGACCATCGTCAATGGGAGCGTCGCTAGCTGAACCACCCCCTTCTCCTCCAGCCGCAGCTGCCTTCGGGTCGAGTTGCTGAGCGGCGGCACCGAGACAAAAAAAAAAAAAAAAAAGCGGGCGCGAGAGGTGTGAGGCCATGAACATTGAGCGTGGGATCCGAACCGTCGCAGAGCACAGCTAATTGGCCGCAATAAATCAAAACCATCACGTTTGACTTCTAGAAAGGTGTAACCTCTATACACTGGCTTGACACCACGTACGTGAGTTGGACCAGCACGGACATAAGAAGGTACCGAGCAGAGACCGGAACGGTTTGTAACGCGAAGACGACGACAACAACAACAACAATAACAACAGCAGCGGAGACTTGAGTGAGCTTACACTAGTGGTCTCTGCTCTCATTCGTGAGGATATTGATAACATTCTCGCTGCACATTTTTACATTACACAGCTAAATGTCTAGGCATACAGTGTGTACGCAGAGGGAGAAGGTGACCGTGTAACACGGAGCGAAGAGAGTACACTATTCTCGCATTAAAATCGAAGGCAAAGCAACGCAGGAGGGGTGGTAGGAGGCCTCAGGGAGGGGATCCCTTCTGTGTGACCACGGGTCGGAGCAAACGGCATAAATGTTGTGAGCGCTGATTAGAAGTGAAGACAACAAACAAAAATACGGCAGTACCTTTCTATATATCCGTTCGCAGCAACTCGCATGTGAATCGACGCGCAGCGGTCATCGATATATATATGTGACTCTGTTCAGAAATACAAGGACTATTCGGATACTTCCGTCATTCCCGAGGATCCTCGTGAAAAAATAATCAAACAAACAGAGCGCTGCTCGCTCGCTCACCTCCGAGACGGCCTTGTCCAGGTCGTCTGTGTGGCTGTACAGCCAGTCCGCTCCCCTGGCCGCGTCCCCCCCCGTAGCCTTCAGCGCTCCCGACGCCTGCCTCTCCGTGAAACCCAGGCTGACCAGCATCATCAAAGCTTCGGGGTCTGGCGCCGCATCACCGTCGCCGCCGCCGCCGGCGGCGGGGGGGGTCCCGGTGGATGCGCCGGGTGCGGGGAGGGGGTCATTGAAGTCGGCGTCGCCCATGTGCTCCAGCACCCAGTTCATCGCCACCTCTGGTTGTTGCGACGGGGGGGAGAGATGTAACTGTCAGTCAAAAATTCAAACTGTTTCGAGCGTAGAATCAACATGCCCCGACTGCTGCGTCAGAACCCACACTGCAAGCACAGCACACCCAACATCCCACCATCCCAATCCCCCCTCACAACTGCGGTACCTTTCTAAAGTAGGAGGGAAGACCCAAGACAACAACTTCAAAAAAAAAAAAGGTCAAGGTTTCCAAACTGACCTGCAGAGGCGTTGTTGACCGCCACGGCCGCCCTTCTGCACCCGTTCTCCTGGAACCCCATGGCCATCAGCTGCGACACCAGCTCGGCATCAGGGACCACCGCTCTTCCTGATGTGCGTGCGTGTGGGGGTAAAAACGGAGGTTAAAAAACACGCAAATATGGTCAAGCACAACACACTACACGTCAGCACGCTTGGAGGAACGATTGGGTTTGTGTGGTGAGTTTTTCAGCCTCGCGAAAAAGCCCGAAAAAAAGCGCACAAACAATGTACGTACAAAAAACAATACGGCAGAACGTCCAAGGTGTCAAACATGGTCTAACCCCAACGCGGTGAACGACAACACCAGAATGCGTTGGGCATTGCACGCAGACGCAGAGGACGAAGAAATTCAGACACAAAGGCAGTCATGATGGTATAATGGTCTCCAAACGTAAAACCGTCGCCACATCTACCACACGAACAACGCAGGTATAATGGTGCACCAACCAAGCGGCGCGGCTTCTAGAAAAGCGACGGCAGATCCATCCACGAACACGGGTGAAAACAAACATAGAGTCGAGCAAAAACAAACGGCACGGTCACCACACACGTTGTGCTTAGGCGCGTTGTTTCGGTCGTTCTGGACATCTCGAGTGTTTCTACACCTTTCCGTACATGCATACGATTCTTCCCGGAGCAGGAGAATTTTTCCGCTCTCTTTTTTTTCGGCGGGAGGATCTTGGGAATACAGGACTGCTGTACCGTGACAGTTTCGATACAGGAAACAACAGTATGCTCAAGAGTAAAAAAGGTTCTCACCTTGAGCAAAAATGCTTAAAAAATAAAGGCTATCACGTTGAGCGGGAATGCTTAAATCAAACTTCAAAGGTGCTTGCCTTGAGCATACTGTTTTAAGGTTAAAAGGTTCCCACCTTGAGCGCCAGAACCAGCAGAGCCAGCAGCAGCAGCAGCAGCCGGGTCGTCCGCCGCGGGGGGCACCGCATCGTCCCCCTCTGGCATAGGCACCTCATCCGCCTGAGGCGTTGTCAACCGCACACACAAACCCCATTTAAGACAGGCAACGCGGACATAAGATATAATTCAACCCGATACATGAACGCTTCTTTAAAACACATACCGTATTTAAGGTAGGGAACCAGACAAGGCATAGAGTCTACTCAGTAAATTCGACGAAGTGGACAAAAGTTTCTTTCAAACACAGGCCGCGCACGTGATGATACAACCTGACTCCGTTTGCGGCCGAACTAGAAAAATGCGTGACACCCCTTCATGGCTTGTTTGTGATGGGGACCAAGCAGTGTACTGTAGATACACGGCAACTTGCGGTAAAACAAAAAGCGACGTGTACATGTAGCCGAATTACATGCATATCAAGAGCAATATCATCGGTTTTGCCCCATCGCCAATGGGGGTTCGGGATTCTTCCGCCGTGAGACTAAGTATGAGCGTCAGTGCAATATCCAGTCTATAGACGTTTCGCAACTACTGTTCCTATTGTGAAACCATTCACATGAGCAAATTGTAGGGGGGGGGGGGGGGGGGGGTACTCATAGTCGTGCATGCCGTAGTCATTAGACCATTGACCTCGCATCCCTACAAAGCCGGGACGGAGCACACCGGGTTCTCACCGGACCAGGCTCTCACATCACCAAGCGCGAAGCACCGTGAGGTATTTGGCGAGTCGCATGAAGGGTGAGCTGCATCCTGCTAAGGGTGTTCGGCATCTTGTGCTTACTTCCTTGCGTACGGATGACAGCTACGTATGACTTAATTTATTTTCTGGTGCGTTCACTTCCAGAGACAGTTGTAAGCACTGTGTAACTGCCTCGAGGGTGCTTGACCATTTTAACACAACGTGGTGCGATCATCCCCCGTTGCGCGGAGTGAGGGTCCTCCACCCCGCACAACATGATCTACTCGACCACCATTATGGTTACCGCCAAAAAAAAAAAAAACGAGGTAAAAAAAAAAAACAACGGTAACCTGGTTGCCGAGTTCACGAAGTGAATTGGCTTGTTTTACAACGTCGTTGCCAAGCGACGAAAACCCAATCCCGATGGTAAACACCGAGCGGGGGGCGGCTTGTTTTACAACGTCGTTGCCAAGCGACGAAAACCCAAACCCCGATGGCAAACAAGGCCGAGGGGGGGGGGGATAGGGGGGGGGGGGGTT